TCTATTCTTTAAAGACTCATTCAGGTTCAGGTTCAGTGCTGATGAGAATGGAGAATATGACGTGGGGATGGGAGGAATCCAGACTTCCAATAAAAAAGGGAGAGCCAAATATAATTATAATTAAGCATGACCCTAATCATGGCTGCAAAGGACCTTGGGCTTCCTCAGGGCACTGACCTCACCGCAGAGCAGAGTTTCATCTGGGCTGAGAGCCAGACTGAATTTTGGCTGAGTGGTGGTGGGTATGACCATAGTTACCAAATTGGACCTCTTAGGCAAACAGCTAATGCCAATAACTGATTCCAATTCATGTATATTTTCCACATTCCATATCCCACAAGTATTTATAGATTGAAAAAGATCTATTTTCTGAGAAATAAAATGCACTCCTGAAGCAGATATGTGACAGTTATGGTTCTATCTAAGAATTAAAATCAATCTTGAAATTAGAGCTCCAGTATTTAAGTAGTGAGGGGAGCAGGAGAGAGGGAATCAAGGCCCCCGTTGTGGTGGCTGACGTGGACCTTTGGGCTTCAGAAGGTTACCAAGCCTACGCAGGTTCTTCCACTCCTCTCTTCCAGGACACAGTGGTGGCTCTCCAGGCCTTGTCCAGATACGGAGCAGCCACCTTCACCAGGACTGGGAAGCCCACACAGGTGACCATCCAACATTCGGGAACACTTGTCGCAAAATTCCAAGTGGACGACAACAACCGCCTGTTACTACAGCAGACCTCACTGCCGAAGGTGCCTGAGGAATATACCATGACGGTGACAGGAGAAGGTTGTGTCTACCTCCAGGTGAGACTCTTGGTCCTCATTAGCCATTAATCTCTGACTCGGCAGAGGAGAGGGAAAGTCAGTGAAAAAGTTGAGGCAATTGGGAGGAGAAGAGAGAAACACAGATTTTTGTCTTTGATATTCCACAGACATCCCTGAAATACAATATTCTGCCAGAAAAGGCAGAGTTCCCATTTGCTTTGGAGGTACAGACTCTGCCCCAAACTTGTGATGGACCCAAAGCCCACACCAGCTTCCAGATCTCACTAAATGTCAGGTAAGACCTCTGCCTGAATCATCTAATTCTGGTTAGAACAACCAGTCCTCTTACTGGAGTTTGTCATTAAGCTGAGCAGCATGTCCATAAATATCTGCACTACATTTATTGAAAAAGCAGTGTGTCCTCGGGTTCATACAGAATTTTTCCGTGGTGGGGCATATATTCATGGTACGTCCCTGTCTCCAGGATCTATGCTTGTCGAACCTCATTATTTAAAGGTTAATTCCCCTCAATAACAGCTAAAAACAAAGAACATTCATCCTTGCCTCTGACCTGAATTCCTGATTTAATTCTAAGGTCATTGATTCATTCTCGGATTTCATTCTATTACAGAATATAAAATGTATATCCTATTATACATGTATGTATATGTACATGTAATATAGAATATTGTAATATTGTAATAGAATGTAAATACTGACCATTTCAGCAAGGATGCACCATAAAATGATAAGATCAGTTGACCAATAAGCCAATCTCATTTTATAGCTCTGTGTTCTAACATAATTTATTCAGTCTTATATTTATGGACTTTATATTTTACAAGTTTTATGCAGTTTTAATAAGGCTGTAATGGTAAACCTTTTGATATTTGATATCATCCTTGCTCTACCCAGGGCAGATATGGAGAATTCCTGAAAAGCATGAATAGAAGGAAGTAGTGACTCTCTAGTTAGAATTCCTACTGGCAATAAATAAATCTCAGATTATATACAAAATAATCAATTTGGGGGGAAAATAAATATATATGCAGCAGTATTCAGATAGCTCCAGGGCTAACAAAAAATATATCTGTCCACAAGAATATTCTAACCTGGGTGGGGATACTATTCAGGAAAAAAAGTTAAAGTATATGTCACAAATAACTGGCAGAAATTAGAGGTCTCAGACCCAGCTCTGCATCACATGCTTTCTCAAACTGCGCTGCCTCGAGTCCACACACGTGAAGTCCTGACTCATCGGGTCTAGGGTACAGCCTGGTCTTTGTGGCTTCAACACATTCCCTGGAGATTGTAATGCTTCCGCTTGGGGAGGACATTTAGGAAGACTTCCATGTACCTTTGAGGGCAGTGAGTGCTTGCTCTAGGCATAGAAAATGAGAATATTTAGTAACACAGAAAACCCTAACTCCTTTCTTCTCTGAATCTTCAGTTACACCGGGAGTCGTCCCGCCTCCAACATGGTGATTATTGACGTGAAGATGGTGTCTGGCTTCATTCCCCTGAAACCAACAGTGAAAATGGTAGGTCTAGCGTATGTCCAGGAGGCTATATTTTATTTAATGTTTTAGGTATCTCTGGACTAAGAAAATATTAAAATCTTTTCAGTCACTTCTATCAAACACAAATACTTTCTCCAAAGTCAGAAATATAATATGATATATATATGTATAACATAATATAATATAACATAAAACATGTTTCATACAGGTTTTTTGGTTTTTTGGTTTTTTGGTGTGTGTGGTTTTTTTTCCCTCATTAAACTTTGTTTTAGGGGGTCTCAAAATTCTCTGACAGATTTTTTTTTAAGATTTTATTTATTTATTTGACAGACAGAGATCACAAGCAGGCAGAGAGAGAGGAGAAAGCAAGCTCCCCGTGGAGTGGAGAGCCTGATGTGGGGCTCGATCCCAGGACCCTGGGATTATGACCTGAGCTGAAGGCAGAGGCTTTAACCCACTGAGCCACCCAGGAGCCCCACTGACAGATTTTTTAGTCAAGTTGCTCCCACTAGAAAGTACTTGTTTTTAAAACTAGTAAGTTAAAACTCACACATGCACATATGCACAAATGAATGATCCACAAAACATTCTCTCTTCCCTCTGAAGGTTTTCTGGGACATTTTTATCATTTTATCATTAACCAGTCTTCCTTCTAGACTTAAATGGCCAATTGAGACACACAGTACTGTGATCATTCTTCTACGGCTGGTTAGGACTGGGGTTGCAGGCATTAGGGATAATATTCATTGAGCCTCCTGAGCTTTCCAGGCAGACATGGTGACCTTGCCAACTCCAGCAGGCTTCCCGTCCACTGCTTTGATGACAACCACAGAGACTGTCTGTTTCATGTTACAAACAGCTCTCTTCCAAGAGCCACACCTACTAGAAGAATGTCAGCAAGCTCCTGCTTTCATGGAGCTTAGACACTTAAGAAGATAAAGCTTGGGACACCTGGCTGGCTCAGTCAGAAGAGCATGAAACTCTGGATCCTCAGGGTCATGAGCTTGAGGCGCATGTTGGGTGTAGAGGGTTACTTAAATAAATAATAAATAAAACTTTTTAAAAAAAAGAAGATAAAGCTTATGCACCAGTGGAAAAAAATACAAAAATGACCAATAAACAAAAATGACCAATAAATATTAACTCTAATTATTACAGAAGTTCAGAGAAAAATGAGATTGCTGTAAGAGCAAGCAAAAAAAAAAGTTTTAAGAAAACCCTCCTTCATGAAGGAATAGAATGTACATTGAACTTCGAAATACAGAAAATTCCCAACTTTAGGATACTTGTTTCACTTTTCTTCAGATACATCAACTTCACACATAGGTCATGTGTCCTACTAATATCAAACCCTGCATCCCAATTATCTCTCATTTTTTATGTAAAAACATTATCATCTTCACTTACAAAAATCACTTGAAGAAACTTTACCCTCAGGCTTAATTTGGTAATAAAAATTCTTCGTTTCTCTGGTTTTCCCAGAGGCTTCATCTGTTTATTAACATTTGTGATGTATTAATTTTCTTCAGCTTGAAAGATCTAACCATGTGAGCCGAACAGAGGTCAGCAACAACCATGTTTTGATTTATCTGGATAAGGTGAGAGCCCTGCCAATCTAATTGCAAAAAAATATAGGTAATATATAGGTAATAATCTCTTGAAGGGAGATATACTAATCCTATCCTAAGGAAAGTGAATGAAGGCATTTTGGAGACATCGCCTCCATGGCAAAAGTTTGAGCATTCTAATATTAATTCCAGTAAATACTCTCCTCTTCTTTATCTGAAATTCATGTAAGACTATGGGAAAAAATGACTATTATAATATGGGGATATGAATACTTCTTGGACCTCATAAACAAAAAATTCTCTGCACAATGTGTTTATGTCCATAACCTATTTTTGAAGATATCAAGTAACATAAGAAAAAAAACCCAATGGTTTCTTCCTTATATTATTATATCAACATCAACATAATTGATGTTATACATTACATATTACATATATCATACCTCAGATATATCAATTATATAATTCACAGCTCAATTATTATATCAACAGTATAAAAGAGGGAAATACCATTTCAGCAAGGATACACCATAAACTGATAAGATCAGTCAACCAATAAGCCAATCTCATTTTATAGTTCTTTGTTCTAACATAATTTATTCATCTTATACTTACAGACATTATATTTTACAAGTTTTGTGAAATTTTAATAAGGCTGTAATGATAGATCTTTTGTATGACTTGTTAAGCCAACACAGTATTTCTACAAGATAGAGAAGTAAAACTATACCAAATCTCTGGATACAGAAAAACGAATATCGCCATTCACCCAACAAAATCATGTATCATTCACCCTTTACAAAGAGCCCATGGACCAGTATTGATCAGAGTATATGAATTGTTTGGGTTATTTAAGCAAAATTTAGGGATATTTTCATTCACCCTGGGAGCTTTCTAGGAGCCACTTAAGGACACTGTTAGTGGATAAAAAGTTTTTCTCTCCAAAAGTAGATGACTAATTAAACTCATTCAAAGAAGAGAGAAGAAAGCTTGTAATTCCCTTTTGCTTTCTAGGTGACAAATCAGACACTCAGCATGTCCTTCATGGTTCTGCAAGATGTCCCAGTAATAGAGCTGAAGCCAGCCATAGTGAAAGTCTATGATTACTATGAGACAGGTGGGTGTGGACAACTTTGACTTAGAAATTAAATTTCTGGTCACAAAAAATTTAGATTTGAGAAATGTGTGGGGGCAACTTATTATACTGTTCTTTTTGTCCCCATCAAGTCTGACTCTTCTCTGTCTTCTATACATATTATAGAAACTATCTATCATACAAATACATCAACTACTAACACAGACCACCTATAGGATATTTAGTTCCCTTTTCTTCAGATAAATCAACTGCAAAACAATGTGAGACTTAAATACATAGAACATTTGAACTGTCTTTCAGAAGTTTAGGGGAAAGAAATATACTGTATTTGAAGAGTTAACATAAAACAGCAAGCAATGTATGAAATGAATGATGCTGATGTTTCTGATACAATTCTCCCCATAATAAAATATTTTTTAACTGACCTGTATTCCATAAATCTTTCCCTCTCACTTCACCTAATGGTTTTGTTTTCATTCAGATGAGTTTGCAATTGCTGAGTATGATGCTCCTTGCAGCAAAGGTAAGTAATGCACTTTCCTTCCAAATGCAATCAGAACCCCTTGGCATGTCTCTTACACCCCTCCATAAAATTCTGGCTAACTATTTTTCATAAACATCGTCTTGCTCACAGTGCAACTTATTATAGAAAAATGCATTTATTGGGAAAGGGCCACTGATGGTCAAACTTCACATAGTTCATAGGATTATTTGTTGGATACATATAAGTAATAAATCTCAGTTCCCACTATACTAATCAGACCTCCTTAGACAGTATGCTACCCAGATCTGAGGGATGGAAGAGTCACTACTCAGGAAGCCCGAGTCCATCTTGATTCTCTCTTCTTTCCACTATCACAGATCATGGAAATGCCTGAAGATCATGAACGACAATGAAAACTGCTTTGCTGGGGTCCCTGTTCCACGGACTGAGGTCTCTGTGGAAGAAAAGAATTTTTGTGATCTATGAAGATTTGAAATAAACCTTTTTTTCTGGTTGATCTTTATCACTGTTTCCTCATTCATTCAATAAACATTTATTACATTTCCATATAATTCCCGTAGATTCCTGGGGTTAAAAATTCATAGAAATCAAGGGTTGAGGGACTTCAGAAAATGAGAACTATTACAGCGATGTTGGTCTAAGCAACCTTCATTAGGGGTTGCAAAGAAAGTATTGAATTATGCCCTAGGACAGTGTGAAGGGTGTTTGGTTACAGGAATACCCTAAGAAAAAGTCAGCGTGCATTTTAGGACTAGAAAAGAATTTCCACATTAAAGGGAAATAATGAAATACAATGTTGGATAAGTTACATTGGATGGCATCATCATTAGTTGGAACTTTACCTGAATAGGGGTTACATGTCCTCAGAACCAAATCTGCCATTGACTTATGCAAGTGATTTGTCAGTTAACTGTGGGTCTCAGGTTCAATAAAGGATGACAGATGGAAAATGCTTAAAGGGTGACACGTTAGAAGCAAGCTCTCTTAGGAGCGCCTGAGTGGCTCAGACAGTTGAGTTCGGGACTCTTGATTTTGGCTCAGGTCATGATCTTGGTGTCATGGGATCGAGCGCCATGTGGGACTCTCTCCCTCTCTCCCTCTCCCACAGCCCCTCCCCCCGACTCTCTCTCTCTCAAAAGAAAGTGAGCTCTCTTAGAAGAAAGGGTATATAGGACTCAAAAGCCCAAATAAGTATGTTATATTGGAGTATTTTTTTTTCCCAGAACATCAAGCCAGGATCAAAAGATAGGTGTAAACTCAAGGAGGAATTCAGAGGCAGAAATCACTGTCCAGGGGCGCCTGGATGGCTCAGCGGGTTAGGGCCTCTGCCTTCAGCTCAGGTCATGATTCCAGGGTCCTGGGATAGAGCCCCGAATCGGGTTCTCTGCTCGGCGGGAAGCCTGCTTCCCCCTCTCTCTCTGCCTGCCTCTCTGCCTACTTGTGATCTCCCTCTGTCACATAAATAAATAAAATCTTAAAAAAAAAAAAAAAAAAAAAAAGAGGGACGCCTGGGTGGCTCAGTGGGTTAAGCCACTGCCTTCGGCTCAGGTCGTGATCCTAGGGTCCTGGGGTGGAGTCCCGCATCGGGCTCCTTGCTCAGCGGGGAACCTGCTTCTCTCGCTGCCTCTGCCTGCCGCTCTGCCTGCTTGTGTGTACTCGCTTGCTCTCTCTCTCTCTCTGGCAAATAAATAAAATCTTTAAAAAAAAAAAAGAAAGAAAGAAAGAAATCAGTGTCCCCAGAATACCCAGTCTCTATATTTTCTTTGTGGTAAGTATTGAAAGCATTTATTTATGGGTGGAGGGACAGAAGCCTCAGGAGTTCACGGAGATCTCTGGAGTTGTCCTAGGAGTCCATGTCTTCATTTGGGTTAGTTTGACTGAAGCTTGGATGGTATCAGCTAAGAACTCTCAAGGACTTTGAAGTTCAAACGTTCTTAGCTCTATCCCTGGACTGGGCAAAAGTAAAAGATAAAAGCTATCACTGAAATTCACACATTCAGGCGGCCCCCCCAACTTGAATCCCAGATCACTTGCCCAGCTGCAGTAGCACAGCCGAGACCCCACACGGAAAAATTCACGGCGATGACGAGGCATAAGATTTATTCAGCACAAACTCGATAACCAGGGCCAAGCTAAAATCCTTCCAAAAACATAGGGAAGAAATTATTATCCTAATGGTGAAGTGGTCAGGGACTGGGTTTCCCTCTTCTGCGAATCCTCTTCCTTCCACATTTTACATTATTTGCAGTGTCATATGGTAGGGGAAAAGCACATGTTTTCACAGATGTGGAAAATGGAATGGACTCAAAATTCAACCCTGCTACTTAGCACCTACGGAATCTTACTCGCACTTAACTCCTCTCAAAATTCAGTTTTCTCATCGGTAAAGAAGGAAATCATTATCACCCTCCACAGGTGTGTGTGAGGGTGCAAAGACATCCACTGGAAGATGTTATTTATTTGACAAAGACACAGAGAGAGAGGGAACACTGTGAAGGCAAAGAAAAACAAGGCTGTACCCACCTCGAGTCTAGCCCTGACATAAGTACAGCCGTCTTGACAAAACAAAAGCTGGCACTTTGTACCCTGTCTCCACCCACTCCCCTCCCCTCGGTAGTATGTGTGACATCCTCAGCCACCCGGGGCTGCCCTAAAAGAAAAACAAATAGTTAACTTGCAGAGATCACAATCCTGCAAGACAGAGTCTCCCTTGGTTTACAAATGTCCTGGGGATTTACAACAAAGAAGCTATCTTAACAATAGCCCAATTTCCAGAGGCAAATAACTCAGTTCCCCCAGCCCTAATGTTGCCCTCCCCACCATAAAACTGAAGGAGGCTGAGGCAGAAGGAAATGGAAATAAAGTTAAATTTCTTCTAAACCCAAATCTCACTAACAAGGACACTTGATAGGAGAAATGTGAAACTTTATCTCTAAACCTCCAAGATAGTGTCGAGAATCATTCCCAAGCATATGGCCCACTGATATACATCTAAAGGGTCTCACGAGAAGATTTTCAGTAATAAATAACCTTTCTCCCAACAATAGCTAGCCCCGCAAGGTCCTGGAGACCTTGCTTCCAAAATTCCTTAGAGATTTACAACAGCCCCTTTGTCCTCACCCACCGCTGAGTCCACCCCTACTCTGCCTTTAAAACCTCTGACTGTAATCTGGTTTGGGGTCCAAGTCCCTACTCCGCTGTGTCGGGTATACTTGGGCCCAAGCTTAAGCTTGCTGAATAAACCCTCGTATGTTTACATCGGTGTTGGCTCCTTAGCGGTCTCTCGGATGCGAAAACTCGGGCATAACAAACACAAGCAGGAGGAGAGGGAGAGGGAGAAGCAGGCTTCCCGCCTAGCAAGGAGCCCGATGCGGGACTCCATGCCAGGAGCTGAGCGGCAGATGCTCAAGAAGGCAGATGCACAACTAACTCAGTCATCCAGGCGCCCCAACTAAATGATATTTTAAAGCCTGCCAGTAATAACATGATCTGTCCAAGGGAAATCTGTTCAGAAACGGGGATGCTCAAGGTTGTTTCTGAACAATAATAACAATGCACTGGAAAGCAATTAACCACAAAAAAGCAAATGTGAAATGGCTTACCATCTTAAAAATTACATTTTGAAGTCCAATCCTTTTCTCCAATTTCCTGTGCACAGAGTTAATAGAAATCTGAGGCTTTAAAAATATATTGGAAAATGCAAGTAATTGGGTCAATGCTCTTGTATTCATTGAGCTGGCAGAGAAGGGAGTGGGGAGATGACAAGGCAGGAGGAGGGGGTGCATCAGGCCTGAGCCTGAGCGGCTCCTGCAATGGTTAATGAAATATGACACCAAAGACACAGATAGTAAGAGAAAAAATAAGTAAACAGACCTTCGTTAAAATTAGAAACATCATGCATCAACGGACACTTTCATTTTTTTTATTTTTTTTTAAGATTTTATGTATTTATTTGACAGAGATCACAAGTAGGCAGAGAGGCAGGCAGAGAGAGAGAAAGGGGGAAGCAGGCTCCCCCAACAGATACTTCCAAAGACAATATTTGCAAATCACTTATCTGATAGGAGTATGACATCCAGAATATAGACAGAACTATAAATCAACAACAAAAACAGAACCCAATTTAAAAACATCAAAGTTGGGACACCTGGGTGGCTCAGTCAGTTAAGCGGCACCTTCGACTCGGGTCATAATCCCAGTGTCCTGGGATCGAGTCCCACATCAGGCTCCTCGATCGGCGGGGAGCCTGCTTCTCCCTCTGCCTCTGCCTGCCACTCTGCCTGCCTGTGCATGCTCTCTCTCTCTCTCTGACAAATGAATAAACATAAAATCTTTATAAATAAATAAATAAATACGTCAAAGCACTTGAATAGAGATTTCTCCAAAGAAGATACAAAAATGGCAAATACGTACACAACAGACACTCAACACCATTAGTCATCAGAGAAATGTAAATCAAAACTACAATGAGATACCTCTTTAAGCCTACTAGGATGAGTAATAAAAAAAAAAAAAGGAAAATAACAGTCGTTGCCCAGGATATAGAGAAATTTTAACCCTTATATATTGCTCCTAAGAAGGTAAAACCCATAGCCACTAGGAAAACACTTAGTGATTCCTCAAAAGATTAAACACTGAATTACTGTATGATTCAACAACTCCACTCCTAAGGACCAACTCACCCCAAAGATCTGAAAACAGCAGCTCAAACAGATACTCGTACACCCCTGTTCACAGCAGCATTATTCACAATAAGGTAGAAGTCAAGCGTCCATCATCAGATGAATGGAAAAACAAAATGTGCTGTATACTTGGGCTGGAACATTATTCAGCCATAAAAAGAATGAAGTTCTGGTACACACTGCAACTGCAGGAAACTTGAAGACATTATGTCAAGTGAAGTGAGCCAGACGCACAAGGACAAAAACACTGTCTAATTCCACTTGTATGAAGTTATCTAGAATAGGCAAATTCATAGACAAGAGGTAGATTAGGGGCTACTGGGGGCAGGTGGAAGATGGGGGGGTGTGGCTATTGCATAGTGAATAGAGAGTTTGTCTTATGTCTTAGGAATGATGAAAAGGCTTCTTTAGGGGTACCTGGGTAGCTCAGTCGTTAAGCGTCTGCCTTCGGCTCAGGTCATGATCCCAGGGTCCTGGGATCAAGCCCCAAATCGGGCTCCCTGCTCGGAGGGAAGCCTGCTTCTCTCTTTCCCACTCCCCCTGCTTGTGTTCCCTCTCTGGCTGTCTCTCTCTGTCAAATAAATAAATAAAATCTTTAAAGGAAAAAAAGAAAAGAAAAGGCTTCTTCAGAACTAGTAGGAATGGTTGCACAACATTGCATATGTAATTAATGCCACTGGGTTGTACATTTAAACAATGGTTAAAATGGAAAATTTTATACTGACATTTTTTCCACCAATTTTTGAAAAAC